GCCAACACACTGCCGCCCGAGACGAGGGGCGCGACGCCGAAGAAGCCGCAGAGGAATCGTGTCGTGAGCAGGGTTTCGATGTTTGGAGAGAGGGCTTGAGGGATGTAGAGTAGGGTGTAGAGAGTCATGGCGAAGACCAAGGTGGGACGTCGACCGATGAGTTCGCTGCCTGGGCCCCAGACGAATGGACCGAGGACGTAACCGATGAGGAAAGTGAATGTGATGAGGTACGATACCTCCGCCGACACATGGAAATGGGCTCGAATGGCTTGCACAGCGGAAGTCGGGGCGGAAGAAGCGAATGTTCTAATAAAATTCAGTTTCATCAGGCACTTTGAAAGACGAAAGGAAACACGCACACATTCGTGGCCATAACGACACACGTCGCCGTTATAAGCCATTTCCTCCGATCGCTCCAATTCTGCGGATTGGCCTGGTCCTGTGGGCCATCCCAAGTTATCTCGTCAGAATCCGGCGGCGGCGGGGCAGGCCGAGCTGATTCCGATGCCTTCCCGCTCAATATCGGCATGGGCTCGTTCGGGATGTGGATATTATCCGCTTCCTCGTGCGCGAGCGTTGTAGCAGAGGGAAAGGCGGGCGCGGTCAGTGAGATGATGGGCATGGGCTCCGATGGCCACACACGAGGTGGATCCGCGCCGACCATCGTGCCGCTGGACGATTGGTGCGTGAGCGTCCGCATGCGGGGGGGAAGGTCGTGGAAGCGAGACTCGTTGTCAGCCATCGGCCAGGAGAATTGAGAGACCCGTAGCTGGCCGGGGCTTTTATTCATCCTCAAAAGTTGGATGCAAGTAAAAAAAGATGAAGCGGCATTGCGGGTCCGTGCTGACGCGGACGCAACAACACCAGTTGATGAATGATGACGAATTGGAAACACTTACAGAAGAAATCCAGCTTGGCTTGTATGGGCATCTGCTACGGGATGGTGCAAGGGCCGACCATTTTATTTTCAAATATCAAGAAGCCGAAGAAGCGTCTGGCCGCTTCAAATGTTGGATCGAGGCCGTAGAACTGGAAGAATCCGAAGATGATCGAGACCAGAGATTGCAAACGGGTTAAATTAAACGCGTAAGGTGGTCCATGTCATCAATATTGAACGGCGTACTTATTATCTCCGACGTCGGACGAAAAATGTCAGATTGCCGAGGTACTGTAAATCCGTCTCGGCCAACAAGAGTTGGACTTTTCAAGGTTCAATTTTTTGCTACCATGTAATCGGCCGGTACCGCAACTCACCGTCAAGTGAGATGGGATGTCAATCTCGTATCCAGCGGTCACTTGATGATATGCAACATTGCAACATTGAAATACCGGCATTCAATTCCAATCATATCGCAACAGCGTCATCAACCAGCGGAGTCCGATACCGTCGATCCCCATATCGTTCTCAGCGCTTGAATCGTCGGCCTAGTTCGCTCCATGTTTCCCCAACTCCCTGGAAACCCGGGATTGGTCTCTTCTCCGTCCCAAATTGCTCCAACGTCTCGGAAATCAATTAAACTGCTCCTGTCCGCCAAGGCGAAAACTATCCTCCACTGTGTGCGGGACACACCGAGCCCCTTCTTTCCTTCCAATTTACCTGTATTCTCCTATTCTTCCGATAAAATACAACTGTGATGCCTAGATTCCCTCTTTCAAATCTCTCCGCCATCTAATTCCTGCACCAAGTACTAACGCCGACATGAAACAGCGCGCAGAGCTAAAATCACCGCCAAGACGGGAGAAGGAACTTCAGGCGCTTATATTTGGCGCGGGAAGCTACTCATTTGTCCGGAAACACCAGTAAGTACCAGTCCTAAAGTATCCTGCGGAGTCTTCTCTTCGCGGTTTCGGTGTGTCAAGCCGTGGGAGGACCCGGAGACTCCGTTCCAAGCGCACGGGAGTCAATGCAATCGAGTAAGTAGAACTGTTGCTTACTTAGATCGGCCACAGCGGCCGGGAAGTTCCGGTTGCCGGTCTGCGCGTGATCGGATCAGCCACGCGTCCCCTTGCTTCTGACACTCATCCTCTCCTCACAGTCAATCCTTGTCCCAGCGTTTTGAGCCTATATCTCCCTGTTCAGCAACTCGAGCCACTCCTCTTGCACACAATCGGCGTCACTGGTCAGCCGGGATCCCAGGCTCGTCTCAGGCCTCCCCAGGAATGCCGAGCTGATGTCGAGTACTTACTCCGCCAGAAGAGCTGCAGCAAACACGGAGTGCCGGCCATGCCTCGTCTAGTCTTATCGGCGAGCGTTGACTGCCACCGTCGACCCTCCCTGTCTGAACACCGTGGCCAACAACCCTCCGACGGCTATTCAGATCGACTGTGATGCGTTAACACCGCTTTGGGCCCGTCCTGATCTCTATCCCGCATCTCGCCTCCATCTTGCCTCCATCCTCGCTGTTGGAAGTGTGCCTTCCTGTCCATCGTCACCGCTCTATTCTGCACTGGAATCACAACGCACGTTTCCGCGATGTATCAAGCTCGGGCTCTTGTTGACTCACACTTGCTCTTGGTTCCATCCCAGACCAATTCCTTCGTGGACGTTCCTCTTTTTTTCTTCTGATCGAACTCCGATACTGAACGTACTCTCTGTACCATTGGAGCATCTGCGAGCGGGTTACGGCCATCTTGTGATGAGTCGCAATGATTCTTCATTGGATGTTGGTACAGGCTGGGTGACCCTCCCCGAGAGAGGGAGCAACAAGCCTGGAGCCACACAAGCAACATTCTGTGAACCATGTATCAACGCCTGACTGCGTATCCAGCTTTGACGATTGCTGAGGACCCTCTGCTTCGAGTCTACTGTACTATTTCGACCGTAGGTTCACTGGGTGTCACCCGTCACCTACGAAGTTCATTGGGTAACATGTTCACGGATCATCAACCGCAAGGCAATCAGATCAAATTCCCATATTTGTTAACTTGGCATCTCAGATTGCTCGCGGATCACCGAAATTTCGGCAACTGTGGGCTTGCCGAGGGCAAAAAATTGTTCGTCACCGTCACCGAGGCCAAACAGGTTCAGTTCACGAGCGGCCGTCACCCGTCACCTGAACCTATGGTCGAAATAGTACAGTAGGCCGGGTCTGTTGAATTCTGACTCCATAGTTTTCTCCGTTTCTTTCTCGAACGGACTCCCCGCCTCCAGGATTCGACACGCCAAGAATCGAGGTCAAATCGAGGAGGGAGCGGGGACGCGACGCAACACGTGATACTCAACACAGCCACCACAACATTGGTAATAACCTTGTAATAACCAAAGAACCCGATCGGACCACCGCGACAAAGTTCAAACACAAGACTACAATCAATCGCTGGGAGAATAAGCACTCCAATACCCCTGCACGTTGTCTCATCTTCAGGATGCGCTGTGGGATTACAACCTCGGTATGCGTGCAGTCACCAGTGATGGCTCTTTCATTATAATCTGAGGGGATGCTATTCAGAGACTGCACAGGCCAGGTAAGCAGAGCAAAGAATCGAGGAGCGGGGACGCGACGCACTACGTAATAACACAGCCACCACAAGATTGGTAATAGCCTTGTAATAACCGAGGAACCCGATCGGACCACGGCGACAAAGTTCAAACACAAGACTACAATCATTCGCTTTGAAATCGCTCCTTGCTTCTGACCACCATTTCTCGACCACCGCTTCTCGGTAGCACGGCTGCAAGCAGTTAACAAGCAGTCAACGATGTCTGTCTGTCATCCCTCAATTTCCATGTCAACCGCAGCGGTCGACCCACTCTTTCCGCCCGACTTGGAGCGAGTCATATTTGAGCTCGCGGCGTCCTCGTCGCCGTTCTCCATACACAAACTCATGCTGGTGGCTTGGCGGGTGAAAGAATGGTAGGTCTTCGTACATGTATGCGGCTTGCCTCTCATTCAAGTACAGGATCGAGCCTCTGCGCTATCACGTTGCCGTCGCCTCGTCAACCGACGGGGGTCATTACTCCACTCGCGGATATCCGCAAGCTGACATCTCCCAACTGCTTTTGACGTCGCCATCACATCTTCACCGCACCGTGCGTCACTTGTGCCTCGCCAATCCTCACGCCAAGGATACCCTTTCTCTCCTCTCGAATTGTCCGAACGTCCAAAGCATCTGGGGAAGCGGCCCAGAGCTCAAACAACTCTTGACAATCCAACCCCGACGCCTCACACGCCTGCACTTGGATTTGGAGCGCCTCTTTCGCCCTCCGACTCCCCCAGACTTCACCCACAGGCTCTTCTCCCACATCACGCATCTCGAGATCTTTGACCGCCCACGGACTCTCGACTGGACCGTGTGGTCCGGGCTCGCCTCCCTCCCGCATCTCACCCATCTCGCGTTCAATAGCGAGCAATTTATATACATATTCCCTGATCTACTGCACGCATGCCGCGCTCTCCGTGTCCTCGCACTAGTCGTTACAGGCAAGCGCGTCGAATCACCTGTTCCGCCGGTCCTCCTGGAGGATGTGCGGTTCGTGTGGATGATATGTGCCGAATATGTCAAGGATTGGCATGCGGGTGCGTTCATCGGACGGGATTTCTGGACGAGGGCGGAGGAGTTTATCCATATGCGCAGAACGGGGGAGGTTGATCGTACGTTGCTTGTCATTTTGAGTTGACTACGGCTGACTGGGATTCTTTTCAGGTTTGCAATATCGTATAGAGCAGGATGAGAGTGCGAATCTTCCGTGATGTACAGCTTGTATTTATCTTCTAGACAGCGTGTAGAGTCGAAACTATCGAAATCGTGTCCCTCCTTCTCGAATGTGGTGCGGATGCCACCTTGGTAGGTGTGTATTTCAGTTCGGTTCTTCAGGCAGCTGGGACTGTGTTGTCGCGTCCCAATCCCCAGGCGCTGGCTGTGGTTTGAATTGTGTGTGCCTGGGACGCGATTCTCCCGCTGGGAACTTGAAGCATGGAGCGTATCAAATGTGTGGATTGGTGTTTCAAAGGTTATGCCGGACAAATACAGCTTCCTGAGGCGCTGAAGCAAAAGGATTGTGATTGGAGTGGGATTCGAACCCACGCCCCGAAAGACCAGATACCCAGCGAACACATGTTTACGAAGAGAAGAGAAACGTCTGCGACGACGCTGATCCTTAGTCTGGCACTTTAGACCGCTCGGCCATCCAACCGTGAGGCCGCCCCATGTCGTTTACGAGACCGCGGGCAGCAGGCACAGATCGAAACCAAATACTTCCTGTACACATCTAGACCTAGGGCGACACATGAGGTAGGGGGAATGAATCGTCTTGAAAATGTTGTCAGACTGAGCCGAGAGAGGAACGAGAAGTCCGGATGCCAAAAAGAAGCCATATCGAGTGCGAGAGGTTCGTCGGTCATCTTTCACCGAGTTCGAAACGAAAGAGCCGGGGAGATGATGGTGGTCAAAAAGAAGAGTGATCGCACACACCTATCCCCGTGGAATTGCCTCCCCCCCGCTGATGTCCACGAAGCCGGGAACCATCGGCCCCACAATCGACGGCGCTAACTCCCAGTCTGCAGAATGAGCGCCTGTGGTGGGAGGTTGCGAGTCTTGCGTGTATGTGCGATGTTGGGAGGTATGGTTTGTCGGATTTCGTGTGGCACGCGGTGCGATCGACTCTGAGATTTGTACAGTTTGAAAAAGGCGGCCGATCTTGTAAGTTGGCTCAACGCCGGCCATCGAGGGATAAACTACGAGGATGTCCGGTGAGTTGTCTGTGGTGACATACCACTCTCGTGCCTACCTAGCCCAACTGAGTGTATTCGCATGGCAGAAATTCACGTTGATCGTCGGCGTCGGTGAGTCGTCGCCGTCAAAATTAAAGACTCAGAATTGTCGAATCACAATGCTCAGATGTTCGTGGCCTCCTAATTCAAACCGTCTGTATGTCAGATCAAACCTGGCGAATGTAACGAACGATCTTTAACAGGAATTTGACATCTATCGCCCACGAGCGGGGGCTTCCATCCGATCGGCAGGATACGAATATCGCTGTTCGAGGTCAAAGAGACCTAGTTTCGAATAGCCAGCACCGGTGCTCCTTGTATCAGGAAGCCAGCCCATTGACATTTTCCTCCAGTGTTCCGGGTTCCACCTTCGTAGGTGTAAGGGAGGGACTCGATGGCGCGGTTTTTGTATGTACATGTGTTGGGTCATACATTCATTCCAAGATGATATTGCGATTTGCTGACGTCGAGATAGAGCTATGGTAAAGAAAGATCGTCGTGAATGCGCCACGCGCAAACGGGGTTGTTCAAGGGACGGTGAGTGTGCGTTATATGAAACGGAGGGGACGCCCAGAGTACAGCCATCTCGAAACTTCGAAAACATACGTTCACAGCGAGCGCGGTGAGCAAGCTATGCACATACGAGACCAAATGCAATTAACACGTCGTCACTGGATAGCCTACAGTAAAGTTAATGCAACCCCCTCAACTTCTTGATCACCTCCTGCATATCCACCTGGTTCCACTCCCCTGTCCACTCCCCCGCCTCATCGACCGGCACAACGAACGCCTGGAACACTTTCGCTTTCGACCTCGACTTTGATTTCGACTGGCCAAGTGGAGGCGCAGACAAAGGCCCGGGATCCATCGGCCTGAGGACGTACAAAAATCGCTCCCGCCTCACACGTACTGTGGTCCGAGTCGCAGTCCCTCGGCGCTGTAGCCCTAGAGCGTCTGAATCCGAGCGCGCTATCCCGATATCTCTATCAACGTCCTCGTGATCCACTGCATCTTCGTCGTCAACGCCTCCGGGAACGGGCGAGGGCGGGGGATATTGGAAAACGATAGGCGTAGATGGCGGCGTGTCGGTAGGTAACGCACGAAGATCAGGGTGTGTATGAGGTGAGTCGAGGTATGGGTATCCAGTTAGACTTTCCTGAGAACGCGTAGTAGCTCGTCGCAACCGGGGAGTCCTAGCATCAAGGAACCGGGTATCCAGACGCAGATTTGGGCTCGGGCGCCACTGGCGAGGGTCAGTGATGAAGTCGACATCCAGCCGCCGCTGTTGTGAGGATCCAAGGCGTCGACAAGGTCGCCCGTGGCAGAGCCTCGAGTGGAGGGAAAAGAAGGTGCTTACGGGGCGCCGTACAGCCCGCATCCGGATTTAATTAGCAGTGTGATCCGAGGAATCATTCATTGTGTCCGGGACCTGGCCGTTTGATCAACAGCGCTGTTCAATCTTGGTTCAATCATCGGAGGGCGCCGCGGCGAAGGCCTTGGTGAACGTGTACAATTGTGGCTGAACGAGCTGCATACATTGCAGTTTCTGGCAGATCCAGCGCCGTAAGTCGTTTGTTCGCTGAGTACGATACGGACTGTGCGAACACACTGTTTGAACTAAACTCAAGGGTCACAGTGTGCACAGTGCTACCACGCGATGCGTCAACTCGAAGGGAGCGAAATTGATTCCAGTACTTGCATAGGCATCCGGTTGAGGACCTACATAGATGACCGGCGTTGAATCTTATCGTGAACCAATCGAATATCGAGTAAGTATTAGCATATGATGACTGCTCCTCCCAGGGCAAACTCAACATTCAAGGGTCACACTACTGCCTGAAACGGTCTCGATTTGAAGCCCGAGATTATTGCATTGAGTCCAAGTGGGCCCACGTAGATGATTACTTTCGATCGTGCCCTCGATATGATCAGACCAAGATCAGACTGATCAATCTACGCGACCTGTAGTATAATTCCTTCCTATGGCAAACTGCTGGTTTCCTGGTTCAAAATCTCACCTCTGTATGTAGTCGAATAAGAATCAATCGTGCATACTCACTCGGTATACTTAACGGGTAATAAGTACTTGATTCCACCGGTGATCGTCAGTTGATTGTCGGTTGATGATACGCATGATGTATCAGCCTCGTCCACATGGCACATAGAATGAATTTTGAGGTTCACCAGTGGCCCTGCGCTTCCTAGAAACGACTCGGAAGCAGGGGAAACCACGTTGAACGTGTCAAGATTGCGAAATCGTCTGATATGTGCTCAATCCGAGCTTCCTCAAGGATACATGGTGTAGTTGGTTATCACGCTCGCTTAGCTAATCAGTCAGGAATTTTTTAACGGAACACCACGATCACAGCACCGGCATCGCGGCATTTTGAACGAAAAAATGCCTCTTCCATGCAAATGTAACAAGCTGGAATACCCGGCCCGGACGTGATTGAAACAAATGCCTCGGGCGTGTCGGGCATGTAGTATAGCTGGTTATTGCGCCCGCTTAGCATTCCAAAGAAGCTCGTGTGGGAGGTCCGGCGTTCGAGTCGCCGCTTGTCCAACACTCCCCCTTAAGACAGAGGTGTTGGGTTCAATTCCCAATGTATCCACACCCTTTTTGACCCGCCCGACCCCGAGTTCCTTCCCTTTTTCACGTCTGCCGCCCGCAAACGGTAAATCCCACATTACTTCCCTCAAACGATACGCCTGGTCTCGTTCTGACTTTCAGTGTCATCCCTGGCACCTTCCCTTGGTCTCAGAATTATTTCGGAACGTATGAGCCCCGGGGGATGAAGCAATAGAGCCATCATCGTGGAATGATGAGCAGATCATGGAAATTTTCAACATCAACATCACAAAGTAAACAAGCACCAATCATTCCTCAGCGCAGTGTACATGTTCTTCTGACTTCACTACTACTAGTGTCTGTCAACAATTGGAGTCCAATGTGTGAATACAATCCGCATTTCACTTCGCTCATTCCCTCAGGACAGTCCGTCCGCTGTGCAGCACAGCCTGTTGACAGTCTGACGCCGGTTCAACCGTAAATAGCGGTTGGTGGGGCAACATCCCTCATCGTCAGTTCGTCGTGGTGCCAAATTCCAATTGGCAATGAAGACCTTGAACCAAGATTGAACCCGGCTTTCTCAACTTTCAAGTATCAGACACAGCCCATTCCCGAATGCCCTAATCTCGTCACTGTTTGCCGATACACAGGTCCCATGGAGGCTGTGAAGGCTCGGCGCTTCCTTTCCTCCTACCACCTCCATGCCCCATTCTCAGTGGCCTGTCCCGGAGAGCGCTAGCCTGTACACCGAGTCCACGATCCCCACGACCGTGTGGGGACCAGGCACCCTCGCAGGCCGAGCGATCATGGCTCTCGGGGAAGTCACGCTGAAAGGCCTCGACCGGCTTATTGACCGCGAGGCGCGAGCGATCGAGAAGAGGCTACAGGGCATTCAGTCGTCGGCTCCGCATTTGACGACGGATATGTATGATGACCTTGTCGAGCTTTCGGGGTGCGTGATTTGCATCTCAGGCTTTGATCAGTGGCCTCAATTTCGATTGTAGACCGCCGATATACCCAACGTATATTATGGCTCGCGCAACTGATTTGCTGGTCGCCCAACTCAATCTCGGGTATGGAGCGGCCATCGCCTCGCGACTAGTTCAACTCTCCCCGCCAGAAGCCCGCATCGTCCTATTCCGTCTCGCGACTTCGAGGTATGTCGCCGATGGAAGTGTCAACTCCATAATGAATCTCCTCAGCAAATTCGAAATCCTAAACTACAACTCCATCAGCGAATTCCACGCCCTCGACCTGCTCTCCACTCTCCTCCAACTACACCCCGAAATGTCCGCCCCCGTCTTCGAGCTCCTGGACCACCTCTTCCAAACGCTCGATGCCCAAACAAAACTGTACCGATTCTCCGCACACCCAATCCTCCGCATGCATGCCGAGGAAAACCTCAACATCCCTTCAATGTGTCGGACCTCGCTGTCGGAGTTGCAGATTCAGTTCTCTGCTGATCGAGCGCATCGGTGGAGGATTTGGCTGACGCTCGAAGGTGTGGGTGGAGTCACGGCTGAGAGTCGGCTTGGCCAGATTAGTCGGATCCTTGCTGACACGACGGCGGCGGCGCCTGAATTGTTTGATGCGGCTGTTGATTTGGTTGACTTCCTTCGGTGAGCTGGTTCTTATTTGGAGAATTTTGGGACTGAGATTCCGCATCGAAGATACTCACAGGACCCGGAAATCCGGCGTGCTGCAACGGAACAACTGGTTGCCTCCATTGCGAACCAAAGTGTAGACGATACTTTGATAAATGCCCTCAACCTGAAATGGACGCCAGAGGCTGACGAGAACCCACGGTATGTGGACAATCCTACGGTACTGCACGATTCGTTGAAAAATACTCTCAGATACGGCTTATACACCCTCAACCGCACATCAACGGCAGTCTGGGGGAGACAGTCCGACAGCGGAAGCTCCGATCCCCGACTCGCCGAGTTTCTGACTAAAGCGAGATTGCGTGCTGAATCCACCCCAGTCGCGCAGGTTTCCGACCCAAAGCCTCCAATTCCCGAACTCAAGACAACTGCACCAACTCGAAATCGTGCTCGAAATCGTGTCAGATTTTCACTTCCGGCGAGGTCCAAGCGGCACATACACTCTGCAACGGAACCATGCACGGGATGTACAGAGTGGTTCCATGGATACGATCCTCTCCCGCTGGTTCGTCCAGGGTCCACTTTGTCGGCTTCTGGTCGGAATAAGTCTGATTCGCGATCGGTGGAGGTGCAAATGCGAGAGATACTTGAGACGTACCTGCCGTGGACGCGCACATAGTATGTGTGCCCCTTTCCTTGTAACGCGGATATATCGTGTGTTGTATGTCCGTGCACTCTTGTAAATTGTAAATTGTAGCTTCAAGTCCAAATGGATAGACTCGACTCCCAGAACAATTAGACTCGTAACCAGTCTGTCCATGAGTTGTCGATATCGACAACAATTCATGGTCAGAGCATGGACATGTCGGAAAAATCAAAATTGGCTTGGACTGGCTAGAGACCTGTTCCAAGCCGTTAGGTTAGTTTCCGACACAGATATCGACAACTCATGGACAGACCAGATTCTGGTCTCCAGAAGAATTGAAGTAGGAGGAAAGACACAGACGGCAAACGCTGAACTCCAAAAGTAGGAACCAAAATGGAAATCCTAGTTCAAAACAGCATAAATATCGAGGCCGGAAAGCCTACCACTCCGAAACAGCGTGTCATCCTTGTGCAGGGGCCATGCTAATCTTCTCTGTATTGTTCCAATGGCTGCGTACGACACCCCAAAGGGGTCAAGGAATACGGGGACATCTGGGTGGTCATCAGTCGAAAGCCTGGACTCCGTGGTCCGAATGCTAGAAAGAAATACACAGCCTGACCGGATAAAAGACCCACTCACTAACAGACAACAGAAAGAGGATGAAGAGTTACACTACAGATTACAAGAATATATATCCTCTAGTCCGAAACCAGATCCGATCCATAAACACAGAAAGCAAGACAAAGAGGCACACAGAAACTCATTAAATATCCTATCTCGCAGCATTCACCGCTTGCGCTTGGCACCAAGGGTAGCCCCACCAAGCACGTCGCCTGACCCACTCCCCTCCCCAGAATCCGCATCCCCATCAACCTCCATATCGACACCTTCCGCGTCAGGCGGTGGCGGCGGTGGCGGCATATCTTCATCCACATTCCGCGATCGTCTACGAAAGGTCGTCAGCGTCTGACAAGGGTGCTCAAGAGCGACACTCGCCTCATCGCAGCTCCACTCATCCCAGCATTATCCTCGACCTCCGTCTCCACCCCACCGCCGTCGACGCGTATCCGCGGCGCAGCATACATCTCATCCACCTCGTCGCCATCCTCATCCGCCAGGTCATCTGCTAGTACGCCCTCGTCATGGGCTATGGGCGGCGGAGGATCGTCGGCTGCGTCGGGGATGATCTCTTCGTACTCCTGCAAGAAAATGTCAATCATTATGCATGCCGGTAACGGATTGCAAAGGGTGCAAAGGGGTGGGAGAATGGAGCCGCCCCGACATGTGGACAGTCCCCGAGAGCCGTGGATATAGAACCCCGGGTCTGGATAGACGATGGGGGGACAGTCGTTCCACCAAGCCCGACAACGCCGCGGGAGCGATGTGTGTAGACACTGCGGCGACAGTGAAGAGCGCCCGAGAACCCCGTGACCGAGCCTCTCCCGTCAAGAAGGGCTAAATGGGCTTTCCATACAACGACCCGCACGCTCCCACGTCACACACACCCTCCCTCCCCGTCTCCCAAATCAAAAGCAAAGAAGCAAAAAAAAAACGCACCTCCTCTTCCTCCTCAATCTCAATCTCCACATCCTCCTCCAGGTCCGCAAACGTCCTGCACAAAGGACAGCTAAGTAGAGGACGAGCAAAAGTCAGTATGTATGACGTAATCAACAGGCATGGAGGAAAGTAGAAGAGGACGAGGAGATCTAGAACGCGCAGCACATTGAACACCGGGAGGCGCAGCGGGACGCGGTCCTCGAGGTCGCTGTATCGACCGTCATCCCCACCCGCGCCTGCATATCGTCCTCGCCGCCATTCCCTCCCCTGACCCAAAAACACTGCAAAGAAAAAACATACCTAAACGCAGGATGATGCGCCTCCAACAACGGCCTCAAACACTTGTAATGGAACGTATGCGAGCACGGAGCTATGAAGAGCGCTTGGCGGATGGATACCGGGAAGAGACCTATGATAGAGGTCAGCGGGGTGGAGGCGGGGAGGAGGAGGAGGAGAGGGAGGGGAGGAGGAGGAGGAGAGGGAGGGGGGAGGGAGAGGGGAGAGGCAGGGGCAGAGGGCAGGGAAGAGGAAGAGGGGGAACGGAGAGGAGGGAGGAGCGGGAGGACAATTGCATTGTAGACCTCCACGCTGCGTCGGGGAAGGAGGAGCAGTAAAGATCTGTCATCAAGCCCCAAAAACGGAGCCGAGAAGAGGCCACCGGCTCGCATGGCACGCTGCGGACGACGAATAGCAGGCCGCCACCACGGAAGACGTCAGCCCAAGCTCTGCAAGGCTGGCTCGACCCCAAGCCGCCCGTCGCACAAGCAGCGACGCCCCTCGTCAAGCCCGCCCACCCAGAGAAGGCAAATGAGAGGAGCTACTAGCTCGCAAGACGCGTTGCCAGAGTGCGCTGCGAATGAGAAACCGCAGGGACTACACATCCCGCCCTACGTCGGGGTCGATCCTCGAAAGACTGGGATGATGGCACCTCCTGTACGCCGATGCCATCCACGTCAACGAGTCGAGTATGGGTAAGCTCGCCCGCCACAGCGCAGCGGTAGTAGATAGTAGACGTGCTTCCGCGTGTGACCCACGACCAATGACATCCTCGACCGAGCGAGGATAGCCAACTCGAGCTGGTCCGGGAGTCCACCCCCCAGCCCTCCCCGAGCGCACCTCCCTCCCAAAGAACACCTCGTCGAAGAAAGAATAAGAATAGAAGGAAGACTCACAAATACAGCAATCCG